GTATTTGGGGGCCTGACCATGAAGTGCTCTGTTGTTACCAACATCTGGTGAAAATTTCATGTCATTAGCACCTCTAGTAATATATTTACTGAGAAAAATGGTGACATGTTCAATACTTATTTTACCCGCTGTATATTTACATAATGCACTGAATTTTACATAATAATGATTCAGATTAGCAAAAAATAATGTTTGATAATTAAGTATTTGTTTTCTATTAAAACAAACCATAATCCATTATGTCCCCTTTGTTCTTAACCAGTGTTGGACCCTGGACAGGTCTACAGTCGATCAGGGACACAGACAATGAGACAAACAACCACAGACACTCAGTCAAAACTAGAGTCCCATAAAAGAGCTCCAGAAAAGATTCAAACTGAGAACTCTCCTCTAACATCCATTTGCTGACAATAACAATTCCCACAACTTGTGCTTTTGGTTTTAGAGATTGTAACAGACATTTTATGCTGGTGCTACAACCTTTTTTTTACTGTGCAACAAAATTAGCAACCTCTGTAGTTAACGTACAACCCTGGGTCACAAGTCCATCATATGGCTACATGAAGAAAACCAGACAAATAATCATTCTCTCACTCAAACGTAGTAATGATGTTGCGTTACAGTTTATAATAACATTTAATTTTTTGATTTTTGGTAGTAAACTAGAGTACTCTGCAAAAGTCTACGTATGGGGAGAACAGGCAGACTTCACCCAGAAAGACCAGTAGGCAATCCTGCAAACTTTTCACCGAGAGATGACAGTTCTCACGGCACAACCATATCTTCATTGTTTAACATTAAATTATCAAATAAAACCAAAAGTACTTTTTAATCAGACATTTTTATAGAACAGGTTAAAGGTTTAAACTTACATTGTGCCCTGCTGGGCCTTGAGGACCAGGCAGACCTGGTGGGCCTCTCAAACCCTGAAACGCAGAAACTGAAACATTAAAGAAACAGCAGAAGAACTAAAGACAGGTTTTATAATCTGTCCAATGGTTACCACAGCTCCTGGCTCCCCGTTTTTTCCTGAGGGCCCCTGTAAAGACAGACAGTAAAATGTTGTTCAGTCTGTTAACATGAATCTGTTTGTCTGAACAGGTTTTTACCGGTGGTCCTTCTTTTCCTTCTCCTGGAGGGCCCCGATCTCCTGGAACCCCAATCTGCCCACGTGGTCCCGGCTGGCCCTAGACAGATAAGAAAATAAAACTTACTACTTTTATTTGATTAATAATTTAATAATATTTATTATTTCTTTAACTTTTAAATTATTATTATTTAACAGGTTGTGATGCTTGACGCAAAGTCGGCTTTCAGAAAGACCACCACAGATAGCAAAAGATGTGTGTTAGCGGTCCAAGCCCGTAGATTAGGGGAACACAGCTGAAAAGCAGCACCTCACCCACTCCTAAAGCTTATCACTTCCACCCCTCCTCCACCCATCTCCCCCACAGTAAAGGCTCCAGTATGCTGCTGCCGAACTCTCGCAGTTTCATGACGAAAACTGCGTCATTCTGTTCGCACTGCCGACATTTCAGCACTTCTTGTCGCAACACGCGGGTCGAACTTTTCACCCCCCTCCACATAAGAACACATATGAACCATATGGTGTGATTGGTCAGAAGTTTGTGGGAGTGTTTGTTTGTACTGAAGGAGCTCAGACGCTGCATTTGCTTCAACCACTCGCTTCAAAAACAGAAAGAAAGAAAAAATAGAAAAAAGCGATCGCTTCCAGAGCCGACTGTTGACCAGGAAGCAGCGATTTAAAGATAGTCAATGGCCAAAAACTCATAAAAGGGGATAAAGCAGACATTTTTCATGGTGGAATCTGACTGATGAAAACTTTGGAGCTTAATCCTGGACCAGTTTGTGGATAAACAATGTCGGGTGAAGAGTCTCTGATGTTTTTTCTGCATTGGACTCCCCCGGGAAGAAATCCCACATATTGACGTATGCTGCAGCAGGAAGGGTTTCCCAGGAGCTTGGCGCGGGGTGTCTCAGGAACTATGGAAGGTCTGTGCGAAAATGAACACCGAACAACCACGTGACGGCGCGTTGACTGGTCGGCTGCTGAGCGACCATGTTGCCTGCTTCAGCATCACTGCTGAACGAATGAGAAGTCAGCTGCAGAAATCCCACAGTGACAAGGCTGCTGGCCCCAATGGTGTCCACCTCAGTGCTTAAAGACTGTGCCACCTGGCTTTGTGGAGTTCTGCAGCATGTCTTCAAAATGAGCCTGAGTCTGCAGAGAGTCCCAGCAATATGGAAGACATCCCGTATGGTTCCAGTCCCAAAAACAACATGACCCAGTAACAACGAGGACTACAGGCCAGTGGCTCTGACATCCCATTTCATGAAGACCATGGAGAGGCTTGTTCTGGAACAACTACGCCCCATTGTTCAGCCACACCTGGATCCCCTTCAGTTTGGCTATCAGCTCTGCCCAGGAACAGAGGACGCCATCATCTATCTGCTGAAGAGTCTATTCCCACCTGGACAAACCTGCCAGCACTGTGACAGTCATGATCTTCAACTTCTCCAGTGTCTTCATCACAATCCAGCCTGCTCTCCTGGGATGCAAGCTGAGAAGGATGCAAGTGGATGTCCCCCTTGTGTCCTGGATCATGACCTACCTGACTGGCAGACCACAGTACTACAGAACTGTGTGTCTGACAGACTGGTCAGCAACATCTGAGCCCCACAAGGACCAGTCCTCTCCATTCCTCTTCACACTCTACACCACAAACTTCAACTACTACACAGAGACCTGCCATCTCCAGAGGTTTTCTGATGACTCAGCAGTAGTTGGATGTATCAGCGGCGGTGATGAGGATGAGTACAGAGTGACGGTGAAGGACTTTGTCTCCTGGTGCAAGCAGAACCACCTAACACTAAGGATCTGGGCCCTCATGTATAAACGGTGCGTACGCACAAACAAGTTGCGTGCGCCAGGTTCTACGCCCACGTTGTGATGTATTAAAACCAACGTTGTGTGAAAGTGTGCGTATATTTACACACACCTTTCACCTGCTGTGAGAATGTGCGTCAGCCACGCAAAGTTTTTCAGTCGACAGTTTTAACTCACAAAGTCATGAATCTGACCTGAATCCACAGAAATATGACTCTGTTGTGTTTTCTGGATGTAAGGAGCGTCTGAACACGCTGTTAGATTTTTATTTTAGTTTGAGTTTTTATTGTTTAAACTGAAAATCATTTAACCTCAGACAAGGAAACAGATCAGTTTAAAACTGATCAAAGAACCTCCAGTCTACTGTAAACTGTAAAGTGTTTATATTGTTGTCACGTAGTTTGGGTTTTCCTGATATCAGCCCAAGGTCTGACTGAGAGTGCTGTATGAACCTGACTGGAGTCAGAAGATTGAAAACAAAGTTTTGAAGAAGAAACCCAGCTGAATCCTGTTTATTCGGACAAACCATTTTGAACAACGCATATTTTTCCAACAGATCAATCAGCTGTTCCCAGCCCCACACCGTGGGAGAAACTCGCAGCGCTGCGCAACGCATCACTCCCCTGCATCAGCATATTGACGCTTGGTCAGGTAGCCTTGTGTGCGCCCAGGCACCTGTTCTTCAAGTCTGTTGTGTTTTGTCTATATCTCTTGAACGCGTTGTTCCGAACTGTAATTTCCTTTCATGGGATCAGTAATTATTCATTATTTAAAAAAACTTCTCATTTGCAGTAATCAAATATTACATTTTTCCTCTCAGATGGTTGCTGCACATCATCATCAACGGCCAGTAAAAGGTCTTTCAAAGCAACAAACAAACACCAAAATATGATGTCTGCTGAAACAAAAATAAAAACCTTGTCTAACAATAAAAAGGCATTACCTTTGCACCAGGTGGGCCTTGAATCCCCGGTGGTCCTGGTTCTCCCTGTAACACAACAACACAACAAATTAAACTGTCACTCAGATGCTGGAACTGTTCCTCATTCCATGGATCGGACTGAAAATAATTTCTCAAAGTTTGTGGGCTAGTGTGGGTCAACATGCCCCCCCCCCCCCCCCCCCCCCCCACTGATGGAAAAATGTAAATAAGTTATCATATATTTCTTTTGAGTTGGATGTTTTCTGTTTTATCACTTTCTATTTACCTTTCAAATCAGAGGTCAAGGCCTCATCATATTGTTTGTGTTGTTAAAGACTTTAAGTTGTCTTATCCTGCTGTAGCAGTCCTGGTCAGAACCAGGCCGTCTTGAGAGAAATGAAAGTACGAGGTGTCGCTCACACTTGTTCTTATCTTAGTTGAAAAGTTCTAATTAATCTAGTGTATCTGCAGGTTTTAGTCAGTCAAATTTAAGACTTTTTAAGACCTTTTTAATACCACCTTGAATGAAATTTAAGACCGAAAATATAAGCGATGGTTCGGGGATTCTYCTGTATTACAACCAACACGTGTGTCACTCAATAAAAAACATTGAATAAAAAGATAATCAGCTCTCTGGTTAAATTAGCTGTGTTGTACAAGTGCAGTTATTTGGTTGTAAACCATCAAAAAATGCATCTACTAAATACATTCATGGCATGAAACTTGTGTTTTAACATCCAGTTTTGCCTTTATACAAAAATAAACCTCAATAAACCTCAATAAACCTGTACTTTAACCTGCAGCATCACTGTCCAACACATGTCTGAAGGAAGAGAGAGGACGCAGTTGATAAATATGTTGTTAAAGATACACTTTAAAATACATAGTCGTACTTTATTTGGCCAATAAATGTTGCGTCCTGTTTGAACCAATACGAAATGCAATTTGTTCCGTATTTTCATAACCTTTAATAAACATGTCTCTCTCATTCACACAACAGTTAAAAAGCCCCGCCCCCTCTCCTCCTGCAGCTCATTTGATCACTTGGTAACAGCCTCCACTTGGACCACGATTAAAGCTTGCCTCTAACAGAGAATTTACACTAGATGCGGTTCCGCTCCGCTCCGGTCCGACCACCGCAGCAAATATGCAACCATTATTATCAATGAGAGTATTTACACTGGCTCGCAGGGTTCCTACAGCTTCAGGAAGTTATATTTAAGACTTTTTAAGACCTCTTTAACGCCACTTGAAATGAAGTTTAAGACCCAAATCACAATTAATAAAAATGCGGGAAAAAACAGGTTGGTGACAATTTTAACCAAATGATTACTTTAACACAGAACAAATAACTACGAGAAAAAATCTGTAAATTATAATATGTTACCAATTATTTCAATATTTGAGACAATTTACAATCATTCTACTTAAGATGTGTTAACACTTTTAAGACCTCCCGAAGATCGATTTAAGACATTTTAAGGCTAATTAAGGCCTTGTTTTTGGATTGACAAATTCAATGTAAGACTTTAAGGACTCGTGGGAACCCTGGGCAGGGCAGCTTTCAGCTAACGGCCATCCACCAAAATTAGATTTGATCTGATTTTCGCCAGAAGCCAGAGTTGCGCCGGACTCAATCTACAAAGATCACGTTGCACCAACAGGAAAAGGAAATATCTGTATTTTCAAAATAATTCACAAAGGGCAGACTAGTTTTGTAAAAAGTTCAGCTATATCAACAAACATATGGATATATTTATACACAAATGCTGTCAAATTGTATCATTCTGTTTTGGAAGTAGATGGAAACATGTAGCATGAAGCATATGTGTACACATGATACACATTGATTTTATTTTGAAATCAGAAGTTTCAAAAAGAGGACAGCAATGCACTCAACTACGCTTGGAGTCCGTCTTCCACAAAATTAATTATTTTGCTCTGACTTCCACATTTAAGTGCACATGCTTCTCAGACCTCTGTGCTTCACACTGGAGCCGAGTGGGCTGCAAACGAACTGTGCAGCACAGCGGAGTGAAACCACATCTAGTGTAAATTGGATCAACTCTCCACATTAAAGGATTCCCTCTTCGGCTTGCCCACCACTCACGGTGAGGTCATCAGCAGCACTGTGAGTACTTTTTAGAGCTCTAGGAGTGGTCCCCTTAATAATCAAACTCTCCTTACCTGCCTGAGAAAGTTAGTGGCCAGTTTTCTATTCCCCAGTACATCCTCAGTAATGTCCAGCCACTTACCTGTTTTTTTAATCTTTTAGACCAGTCCAGTGAGAGGTTCCTGGCTCTCACCAGCTGCCTTAATACAATAAACATTGTTAACTGCCCTCTGTATCTAGATGAACTTTTGAATCCATTCCTCTGGTTTTGTCAGAAGCACAAAAAGACAGAGTATATGTTGGATGCATAAGCAGGTTAAAGAGGACTTGAAGAGATTTCAGTGTATTTCTATGAGGACATTTTTGGTAAATTAAGTTTAATTATTTTTGAAAAGTATAAAACTTACAAATATGAAAAGAAATAACCCAAATGAGATGAAGGTTTTCTTATACAAATGGTTAAAATGCAACAGAATGCAATCAAAGATGTACATTCCAGTTTCCTAAAATACACAATGGGTGTTCCACAAGGATCTGTGCTTGGACCCCTGCTTTTTAGTCTTTAGGCTTTTTACATCGATGACCTTCCAAAGTTTTGTCATGATGTAGAAGTCCAGTTATATGCGGACGACACTGTTTTGTGCACGCATGCTAAAACCACTCAACTTGCGGTTGAGAAATTAACTAAAGCTCTGGAGGGAGCAGATTGGTTAAATCAATCCTGTCTGACTTTAAATGTAAACAAAACAAAAACTATGTTTTTCTCTAAGACTAAATTGGACGCCTCAAATTTAAACATTCACATCAAGGGTAAACAAACTGATACTGTGACTGAGTTTAAGTARCTTTGAGTTTTTTTGGATTCTAACCTCAGCTACAAGAAACATATTAACAATATGACACAAACTGTTAGATCTAACTTGGTCAATTTTAGACATGTTAGATCTTGTTTGTCATTGGAAGCGGCCAAGATATTCATGCATGCACTCGTTTTTTCACWCATTTCTTATTGTATTTCCTGTTGGGGACAAGCCAATGTGTCAGTAATAAAACCTGTAGAGTCTTGTTACAAACAGGCCCTTAAAATATTTGACAACAAGCCTTTAAGACACCATCACTGTCAGATTGTGCAGAAATATAACTTGTTTTCTTTTGAGAATTTTAGAGGGTTTTTTTCCAATATGGAAACAGTA